CGCTTAGCATGATACTTTCCATATTGTACCACTTGTATGTAAATTTCATGACTTCATCTTTTCTAAGAGCTACATAGTACTCCATTGTGTAGATGTACCAAAGTTTCTTTAACCAGTCATCTGTTCTTGGACATTCAGGTTTCTTCCAGTTTCTGGCTATTGTAAAGAGTGCCTTGCAGCACTTCTAATGCAGCTATCAGAGTGCACTGGGGACCTACTTGATCTCTCATATCCAGGACCTGGTTCCTGCCATCAAATGTTTTGGGCAAGCTGATATTGAGGTGAGGTTCTGAGGGGATTGTTTAGGAATAATTCTAAAAATGAAAATTTGATCATGTAGGTGTTTTCTCCAAACTCTATCAACTTGGAATCTGTACAGATAAGAGTCTTTGATAGGGTATTCTCATGGAAATGGACTTTGAACTCTGGTCATTATCTGTTCTCTGAGTATTACCAGACCTTTGTCTCTCTGCCTGTGAATTTTTCTCCAGTCATCCATATTGATTGTGCTGCATAATGACTCCTTTTCAGATTGTATCTTGTTTTCCCAAACATTTATTGTTTTTTTCTGGCTTGTCAAACTTACTGATAAAGCCCACCCCCCAACCTGACAGCCTACATTATAAATAAACTATGTTCCATGTAGTAGTATATGGTATTTGTGTATATATATTTAAGTCAACCAGTCTGTAGATGCATTTAATTTTCAGACAGTGTTTTTTTAACTTAATAAGTCTATTGAAAATTCTGATATCCAACCAGTATATTTCCAGTACAATAAGTGATTGGGGAAATATCAGAATAAAAGTAACTATTCTCTCTTGTAATTCCTCTCATTAATTAGTTGTATGCATTCTGAAAAGGTAAGAAATAATTAGACATTTAATAAGAGTTTTCAAATGGGCAAAATTAACTTAGGCCGACTGTACCCAAATCCCTGGAGTAGGCAATGACAAGAATTCAAGAAAACAATGACAACAAAAAGGTTATAGATATTAAACTAACAACATTGATTCAATGCAGCCACAACATATGCAGAATCAAACATTCAAAAATTCATTTGCTTTGCTGAAAGTAGACTATAGACCAAACATGATTGCCACCCAATGTTTCTTTTGCAAACCACAACACCCAAAGGGAGAGAGAGAACAGAGGGGAATGCCCTGCCACAGAGGCAGGGTGGGATGGCGGGGATGGGGGGTGGGAGGGATACTGGGATGCGTGGTGGTGGGAAGTGGGCACTGGTGGAGGGATGGATTTGATCATTATATGGTTGAAACCCAAGCACAAAAATGTGTAAGTCTGCAACTGTACCTCATGATGTCTCACTATTAAAAAAATTTTTTAATAAAAAAATTCATTTGCTTACATCTATTATTCTTCCTCTAATCGCCATAAGTACCAAGGAAAAGCATCTCACTTTGTTACACTTTGTAAATTTATTTGTCCTGTCTTCCCGCACATAATCCATAGATTTCCCAGACTTTTCAAAGTTTTATTTCTTTAGATAGTAAACAAATGACTTGATTTTTATCTCTATCCTCATTTACTACCGTACTTTTACTATCAATCGAACAGTTGTCTTTTCAGCTTCATAAAGTTTTGCCCATGTATAGCACAGCGGGTAGGGCGTCTGCCTTGCACGCAGCCAACATGGCCGACCGGAGTTCGATTCCTCCGCCCCTCTCGGAGAGCCCGGCAAGCTACCGAGAGTATTTGGATATGCCAGACACAGTAACAACAAAGTCTCCAATGGAGATGTTACTGGGCCCGCTCGAGCAAATCGACGATCAACGGGAGGGCCTTTACTTTTACTTTTAATGTCTTTAGTATCACTGGAGGCACATTACGCACTGAAGTCAAAAGAAGTGTTAGCAATCCCAGTAAGAAAGAGCAGCAAGGAAGATATTGAGCAAATTAATCCATCAAGATGAATTTCTGCAGTTAACTTCTGTGGGTGTCACAAATCTTGACTACAAATGTCAGTTCTTTCCATGGCTAGTGGCATCAATTAAAAGAAAACAAGATGCAGGAACATGCAGATGCTTGTTCTAAGAAATAAATGCAATGTGGTCTGTGGTAGATTTTACTTTGCAAATGTTACATGTTCTTGGGAAGTTAGACAGAGAAGTTAGTTTGGACTTGAGAATAGTAAATGTCAAGGAGGCTCAGGAGAAAAGCTTCTGATGTTTTCCCTGAACTGAGAAAGAAATTTTCCAGAAGGAAATCAGTGTCCACTAGGCCAGTATTTTGGCATTTTCTCATCCTAAGTTTTATGTACTACTTAAAATGTGCATCATACGAAGTTTCCATTTTTCTCTTCTACTTCCATGAATTCAGACAATGCCTATTTACCCATGATATTTTAATATACTAATATTCTGACTTTCCCCCAAATTTCTAACACATTTCAAGGAATCCCACCTCAAGTGATGTCATGTTCAACAAACTGCAAATTAATCAAGTTATCTGTTCATAAATCGACTATTTTCCCTAAATTTCATAAACTGTTTTACCATTTATTCAGTTTTCTAAAAAATAATCATAATCATATTCTACTATATAGCACAGCTCTGATACTATAGCACTATTGCACTGTCCTCCTGTTGTTCATCGATTTGCTCGAGCAGGCACCAATAACGTCTCCACTGTGAGACTTGTTACTGTTTTTGGCATATTAAACACACCACAGGGAGCTTGCCAGGTTCTGCTCTGCTGGTGAAATACTCTCAGTAGCTTGTCGGGCTTTCTGAAAGGGACAGAGTAATTGAACCCTGGTTGGCCGCTCACTGTGCTATCGCTCCAGCCCACAGCTCTTATACAAGTGGAATAAATATTTTGCAAGTAAATGAAGGATTACACATTTGCTGTTTCATATGTTTCTCCCTCTAACTGAATAATTCAGGACATTCCATGTTCTCTATTACAAATCCTCTGTCAAGGCATCCCTTTCAACTGCTGGCACTGCGGTTGCCCTTATGTTGATCTCCAAGCATCTTAACTAATTTCTTTACCACCTATATGCACTCCTAAGGCATGCATTTGGCTATATTTTCACCTAATTCAAATGCAATTTTATCCCTTTTATCTGTAAAACAAAATCACAATTTCCCCACTCTTCATAGTTTCAAGACTTTTCATGGCATTTGCTCAGACTCACTGAAAAGACCCTTGTCTAAAATCATATTTTTCCATTTTTAATCAGTGATGTCATTTCATGCTCCATGCCTTTGATCACAGTAGTTCCAATGGTGAGACATTCCCGTTTTCTATTTTCTAGCCTGCTCAAATCCTGACTGCCTTTCACCTCAACATTTCCCAGGCCTCTAATTAGAGTCAAGTTTTCACTCCCCCAAGCTTTCATAATACTTTTTTGCTCAGAATTCTGCTCTGGCTCTCAATTTAGTCAAAGCTGCGTTTTGAAAGTCTGTTCATGTATCCACTGCTTTCTGCGTTCCAGAAAGCTCACTCCCTAGCATTTAGATATTGCCTGATAGTAAATGCTAGAAAAGTGTTAAGAATTGCCATTGAATTAAAGTCCTATGCTTATTGTTACTGAGAACTATATGTATATTTCAAGATATAGAAAAGGTAAAATTGACTCAGAAAGTCTTTTGTATTATGAAAGTATTGAAATAATGTGATCCATGGTAAACTATGGATTCATATTTCAAAAGGGTTGCCTTTTAAAGTTTCTTGAAAAAATGTCTCCTAGTAGAGAATGAGTCCTCACTCTCACCCCTTTCTTTGATCTCCTCCCATACTTTATTTTTTCCTTCTCCTTCAGACTCTTCTGAACAGGAACACTTGGACAGTATTCAAACCTGTGGTATTTACTCTTTATCTTTATTTTAAAATTTACTCTTTTTATTTTAAAAATGCCTTTGAGTTTTTGCATTTTGTCACCCAGGAGTTGCGAGGGCCACTCTTATTCTCAAAGAAAAAAAGTATCCTGGCTCCTCTTTGGAAAGCTTTTATCCCATTCCAGCACCTCTGAAAGAATGCAAACCTTCCTAGAATGTACCACCTCTTTCTTCACATGCATGCGCTTATCCCTTATTAAAGGAGGTGTCTTGGAGTGGAGGAAACAGGATGTATTGGGTCCTCTCTATGGGGCCTATCTCCTTGAGACCAAGTGCAGCATTGCAGTGTGTCAACAGAGGGACTTGCACTGTGGACAACTTAATTTATCTGAGGTTTAATTATGCATGGTGGCGACTTCTTGTTAGTTCAGGCTTGCTTTCTTTTAGTGGCAGGCATTTTATTTAATTAGAGAAAAATTATTGGAGAGGCCATGTACTCAGTCTTGTCAATTTTACTTCGGACTCCAGAGCAGAGGGTGCTCTTTAAATTCACCTCACCAGTAAGAATAAATTCTGCTTTTTAGTACAAAAATATTTGTATATCCTAATTTCAGAGTTCTTCGATGTAAAGTCCTCACATTTAACTATATTGTGTTACAAGAATTATTCATTTATTGCCAATCTTAATTTATCTATTCCCGACTTTCACCATCTAAGATTGTGTGAAGCGTGTCAGGTCTCATATTATTTCACTCAGATACACTTTCTAAGTCCTGCGTAGGTATCTTGATAGCAATATTTGTTAAAATAATTTATGCTGATTAATAAAATTCTCATTCTACTTCAGAATCCAAACTCTACTTTCTCAAAGCTTGAAAAGTATATAAGATGTTCATCGGCTAGTGAATGTGCACGATTTACGTGGAGAGTTGTATTGTATGGACTAGCTCTATTCCTGCCTTTAATCTATTCTGTACACAATGGAACCCATGGTTCAGGAACGCCTCTCCTTCGGTCACCTAGTAACTTTTCACTGGTCAACAAGAAGCTGAATAAACTATTATATTGAGGAAAAGTGCTGGGCTAGCCAATTTGGATCATCTCCTAGCTTTTAGAAGAAATAACCATAGCTAAGCTTGAATTTGCTAAACCTTTAGACTTGGTTGGCAGGAAATAAGCATTCCACTTGAACAAAAAATGGATACAGAAGACATGGGCTCAGGTAAACTAGGTCAAATCTTGAAGCAGATTTGGACACAAAACCTAATGCTAAAACAGACACTCCAGGGGAATGAGCATTTTGAAGGCATCAACAAAGCCACTTGGATAGCTGCTGTGGTCTCTCTAGGTCAAGGGCTCAGTGGGGCCCTCCATCAACTTTTGGACTTCACTGCAGGAAACCTATATTCTATCTGCCAGCACTTGCATGGAATACTTGACAAGGAGAATCAATGTATCTGGACACAAGGCAAGTTTTTCTTTACTTTTATTTTTCTTTTAAAGAAACACTAATTAGGTATCTGCTTTGAAAGATGTTAAGTAGCAAACCAAAAAAATGCTAGGATAGAGTCTCTGTATGCAAGGATCTAATGATTTAAAAGAAAAATAATATTACATAATGCTACAAGGGACACGGAGGTCAGCTCCTTTAGAAATACAGAGATGGAATTCTGTAGGGACTTAGATGTAGGCATGCTCCGATTCTCAGACTGAGGAATTAGAACTTTTGTTAGAACAAATACAGCATTGAAACTGAAGCTTAAGAAATGGATTGGGATTTATGCAGCTGCAAATTGGGAGTGAAAATAGAACATCTCAGGCAGAAGTATTGGCTGAATCTAAGACTTAAAGATAAGGATATAGAAACCTTGTGTGAGGTAGAGCAAATTCTTCTTACACATTGAATATAAATTCTGTTTTTAGACTTGTTTGACATTGACTTCACTAATTGCAGAAACATTGGGGATATGTGGTTGAGTCTCATCTATCAGGAATCTAGGGCAGCTAGTATTAAGAAATTTAGTTTTGAGGGCAAATAGTCAGTGTCAAAAATATGATGAAAGGAATCATAACTAGGGCTCATCAGCTAGTGGCCATCAACTGAACTACAGCCAGAACTTGAATATCTGTAGATAACTAAATATGCTTTAGGCAACATATCAAGCCAAGTATGTATTCATGGGCAGCTATAAGGACCCAGCTAAGGATTAAGAGTTTATGAAAAAGATAGTGCCTCAGGCATCAGACTAAAGAACATGTTCTCAGAAATGGAATCCAAAGAAGAGTGCAGACTAGTGTAAAGATGATTTAGTGATAACTCTATAATCACTAATCCATAAGGGTCTTACAAATCACAGTTCTTAGATCTTATTGAATTTTAATAACCAGACAGTTGCTAAGCTGGCAGCAAGCCACCAAGTGTCCTATCTCTGAGGAGAAGATGTTTATACAAACAAGAGAACAGTTAGAAAAGGGGGTGACGTGAGAGATTTTAGGCCAGATTACTGTGCTTATACCAGAGTGAGAAGATTTCAACTGGTTTAGTTGTCCTTGGTGTTCACTGTAGGTTCAGTTCTATCTAAGTTAGAGGTATTATTTGAAAGATTAATTTGAAAATTGTCAGCTATCCAATTTCAGGAGAAGAAACATGTGACATTGCCCATTTCTCATACAAAGAATACAGTAAATATAGCATTTAAATCAAAAGAAATGAAGAAGCTATTGTATGCCCACTATCTAAGTCTCATCTGATGTGTCTTGCTAAATTTTAGGCAAATGATTTTAAGGGGATCATTGATAAATTATATAGCACATTCAAAAATTAAGTAACATTCTAAAATTATTTAAAAATGAGGAATTATTAAAGGTGTTTATGTCAATGGGACACAGTCTTATGGGTTTTCTTGGTTTCTACCTTTAAATATCCAAAACATTTCCAAAAACAAAAGGGAGTACATCTACCTTTGGTACATTGTTAACAAATCGAGAGTTTGTTCCAAATTCCTTGACTTGTTTCAAGGGTGACAGTCAAACAAATAACTTCTCTTCCAGAAAGAAGTTTGGTCTAAATGCCTGGTAACGTTCTTTGCAAGTATTGAAGATTATCTTACTTATGTCATTACATGTGAGTTGAGAAATATAGTTTGGTTTAGCTTTGTATTTGTTTCATGTGTTTCTCTGTGTATATGTGTATGCAGAAATTACTAGCTTCATAGACTGCCTCATGAAAATAAATGAATATTTGGGGAGCACTGCTACACTTCTGAGAAAAGAAGAAAATGAGATGTCTAATTTATGCAGCATGCATGATGAATGTGCACCACCGCAGACAATGTCCACTATTCAAGACATTGCTGTACGAGGGGAACAAAATGTCATAGAAACAGCTACTGTTTCACCCACAAATGGAGAGAAAAGCCATGACACAAACCAGATCCAGTTTAAAAAATATAAAACACATATGAGTTTAGAATTAACAGAAAAAGAAAGTAATGCGTCTTTGAATGGAGATGGAACAGGGCGAGGCAAATCACAAAACAGAGCATCTCCTGATGTAGAAAATAAAGAAGATAAACAAATGGAACCCATGACTATTCAGAACACCAGTGGCATCAAGGAAAAGGTATGGGACCTAACACAGACAGCAGAAAGAGAAATTCAAGAAAGCCAAAGAGAAGAGAAGATCACATCCTTGATAACAAATGGTATCGCCAATAAGTTTCTGAATAGTCTTCCCAATGACTCAGAGAGTCTAAAGCAAGAGAATAACATAATGGAAAAGGAGTAAGTAAATAAAGTTTAAGAGAACTTAAATGTTCTTACTTATATGTGTTCTGTAACTAGTATATACAGTATTTATACAGAATATTTATACACTATTAAAATCAAATTTGTAAGATAAATAATAAATAAAATTGCTTAATTTACTCCCATAAATATATATACCAGCTATATATATAACACATATATTGTATATATATGATATATATGGTATATATAACTGGTATTTCTAATACTGTTTGGTTCTTATAGCTTAGGAGAAAAAGACATTAAATCTTTCCTTAAAGAGTGAAGAAACTGATCACATAAGTTGTTAAAATAATCAATTTTCCAGATCATGAAAATTTTCCTAATTCACTACTTTCTTGTTTAATCTAAAGAAGCTTTTTGTTACTAGAAAAAAACTCAGAAACTTCAAATTGATAGAAAGTTAGGAAAGAACATTCTGCCTCAGATTCATTTTATTGATAACATTATATACATTATTAGGTTTATTTTATTTATAAATCATCATGAATTCTTAGCCAGTCTCTGTAGGACTTTGGTGGATAAATCTTGGTAAAGTTTTGGAAGGTTCTTGAGACTGAAGATGTATTGTCATACTTGTGTTATCTCTTTGAAGATGACCTAGAGGATCCATCATGCTTTGAAAGAGTACAGGACTTCAAAAAAGTGAGAATGAAAGATCCATTTTGTGAATAACCATACCATATACGAGATGGATAACAATCCTTATTTTTCCACGTAAAATAAAATATTCATGAGTCATATTTTCCCAGGCAAACACAACACTCTAAGAAGGCAATAAGAATAAGGAGGGAAAAACAAATCAATGGTTTCACATAAGCAAATTTAAATTTAATCTTCTACTATTATTAGCAATTTGTGAATTTGGGTGTTTTCATTTTTTTGCTCCCATCTTATTTTTGAAATATTATTGCATTATGACATTAAAATATAGAATTCCAGTGCCATTGAAAATCAACATATGCCTTTCTTTTATCCTGATATATGCCATTTTCTTATATGTAAAGTTATTACACTTCTGTAATTATTGGGCAAAGGTAAATGAGAAAGTTCCATAAAGCGCATAGAAACATTTTACTCTACAGGTGATCACACTTGGATAAATGCTACTTAGTTTATTTCACTCCTAAACCTCACTGTTTCCACATATGATAGACTCCACCCACAACTCTGCCATGATACACTGGTGCTATTTCAAACTGACATTAGCATTCAACACTGTCACTGAGTCTATCATCTCAAGAAAATCATGTGCTCGCTCAGCTCAATCTTTGTTGTTCAATCTCTGAAATTATGAGGTTGAGCTGGTTCGAAAATGAACAGTTGTATGAGTCTGGGAATCTAATAAACTTTAATATGACTTTGGAAATTCTTCAAAAAAACCAAACAACCCCCTGGTTGTTAATAATTTTTACCTTTTGTTAAAAAAAATTTAAAACCTACTAATCTAGTTTGTGTGAAAGTTTGGGAGATAACACTAGTGGCCAAGTACATGACTAATGGGCTGTGATGGGCTGTTTGATCTTTTGGCATTGCATTTCCTTACCACCACATGTGGGCGCTAAAAAAAGTAGTTTGTGTATTTTTATCCATTTCATGTGAGAACAATGTTAACGTTTCACATTTTCACCTTCAGGAATGACTCAAACGGAGACTCATGAGTCACTGCTGGTCCACTCCCTCCTTTAGGTGTTCCCCAGTTAGTGATTTCCTCAGTGCAGTCTCTAAACCATTTGTGCCTGGCTTGCATATTTAAGACGATGACTACTCACTGAAATCCCTCAGACTAGGGAACCATCCTGTCATATAAAAACATGTGTCCTTTACAAAGTCAAGCTTAAAATCCATTGTGATTCTTGTCTAAATATCTTTATCAGAAAAAAAGCTTATATTTGTTCTGAGATTGGCCCAGATTGTATAAATTCAAAGGAAAAACAAAAGTTGAATAAACCAATGTGATTATTTTGATGGTTAGAGTAGATCTATTCACTAGGATTAGAGGAAATATAAGTATTTACAGGTCTCTTTACTTTCACCTGTGAGTCTATTTGAAGATTATATTGAGGTAGTTTCCAGGGTGCAGAGGAGAGTCACCACAAAGCTGAGCTACTGAACATATATTATTCTATATGATTTCGTATTTGTGAAGTAATCATATATTATTCTATATGATTTCCTATTTGTGAAGTAATATCACTATCACTAAAGCAACATGCTTGGTAATTTGCTATATTTTTTTAAAGTCATGGGTTCAGGGGCTGGAGTGATAGTAGAGTAAATAGGGCATTTGCCTTACATGCGGCTGACCTGGGTTTGATCCCCAGCATCCCATATGGTTCTCTGAGAACCAGCAGAAGTAATTTTTGAGCTTAAGAGTCAGGAGTAATCCCAGAACACCCCTTGGTGTTGCTCAAAATCCAAATAAATAAGTAAATAAATGAATAAAAATCAGTGGGTTCAGAATATAATGAGATAATATTCTACAATTACAACATGTTTTTAACATTTCTGTGTTAAAGGAAATTATAGAATCACTAATAATTATTAATAGCTAAAACCTTATTATTCCATGACTAAGTAATAATACTATATATTATATAGATTATCTTATTTCATTTGCATACTGTATTTCAATCATTTGACTAATATAAAACAAGAAGTGGCAGGGAAGTGAGAAACGCAAACTTAGAGTTTTAATGTAGAGAACTAACACTTATTGATCAGTCATTTTCTGCTTTAAGAAGTTTAAATAAAGTGTCCCATTTTATCTATACAATATTGAAGATTGTTGTTAATTTCAGTTTTCAATGGGTAAGGGAACTAGTGTTGTGGAATAATTTGAAGAAATATGATATTATAATAGAAAGTTTGGGGATTTTGTGTTAAAGACAGAGTCAATTACTGACTTTTAAGTTTGCCACCTCAAGACTGCAGCGATGATTTAGAGGGAAGGGCATTTCCCTGAACACAGACAATTTGTTTTTGATTCCCAGCCCCAACAGGAATTATCCCTGAGTGCAGAGCCAGGAGTAAGCCCTGAGCACTGGTGGGTGTGGCTCCAAAACAAAAGCAAAATGAAATTTACTACTTAAGTGATTTTTAGCAAATTAAATTTCTAAGTCTGTTTTCTTAATGGATAGAGATGTATTATCTACCTAATACCACAGTGGTGAAGATTAAGTAAAATATATAGCCTAAAATACCCTTATAAAATTGAGTTAACATCTATACCATATACTAAAATATTTGGCAAAGGTAATACAAATGTCTCAAATAATTAAAAATATGGAATAAAATAGTCAAAACAAACTTTTGGACTAATACTTTGGGGATAGTAAATATTGTTTGCAATTCACCTTAACCTTAAATTCAGAACTATATAGCTTAAATCTCCCTAAAATGTAATAAACAGAGTCTGGACAAGTAGTAAAGAGGATAAGTCATTTGCCTTACATGCTGCTGACTCTGGTTCAATCCCCTGAGTTGCATATGGTCTCCCTAGCGTTGACACAAATGATCTCTGAGCATAGAACAAGGAGTAAGCCCTGAGCATAGCACAGTGTGCCCTCTCTTCAACCCCTCCATGCAATAAACACTACCATTCGCTCCCATTGTGTTTAGATAACTATGATTGGACAATCATAATAACTTGTATATTATTCTCCCTCCTCATTTTACTGTTGAGGTAACTGAAAGCACAAAGATGCTGAATATCTGAGATAAGGTCATGGATACAATAAGCCATCGAACTGGGTTTCATATCAAGCTAATGGCTTCTGGCTTTATAGTTTAAACTCCTTTGCAGTTAACTATGTAGTTCATATATCAAGTAAAAAGGGAAAATAATGTTCCCTTTTTCCTTGCAGATATCTTGATATGCCGGGTGATGATAAGGACCCTCAAGTGTCTTGTTATGTAACAGCACACCCCTATGTTCTACAGCATCTAGAATGCCGTATAATTAATAGCATGAGTTCTTCAATAGTTAGTGACAATGAAGAATTGGTCAGCAATGTCATCACGGTTGAGTGCTCACCTCGGGAAAAGAGTATTCCATTTCCAATCTGCATTGCAATTCCATTTACTGCACGTCATAGGGGAAATTATAGAGACATTATGGTGAAAGTATCTGATATAATAAACCTTCAATCAAGCTACCTAACCCCAAATTCACTAGAAGGAATAAGAGGAAGTTATAAGGTTGGTAAATGACTGACTACATCTACATTTTCAGTTTTGCTCATTTAAATACCACTCAGATTATCACAGTATAATGCAAATAAAATCGCTTCACTCTTACCAAATTGAAAATGATTATATTTATTGTACCACATTAAAAATTATCATAATTATCAAAAGGAAGAAATTATTGATCAAAGTTAGAACAAACTGTTGGTCAATGACCCAGCCTGGCTGGTTTAGTGTCATAACTGAGACTAGCTTTAGATAAACACTTGTAACATAATGTTCTTCTATATAAATATAAAAATGTTAAAAATCTTTTTAGAGAAGTTTTGTTTTTATCATTTTGATTGAGGAAATTTATAAAAAATTGAAAAAAATGTGTGTGTACGCATGCATGTGTGTATGTGCATTTATGATGAGACAACAATTAAGACTAATATTTGTTTAGTCTGTACTTCAAAGATAGTACATGTGGTAGTCTGAATGGGTTTGTAATGTGATGGCAATGCTTCCTTTCTAGTAAAGCTAAATGATGCACCTTTGTCATAAATTAATTTATCTGAAAAGAAACATAAATAATATACTGCTCTCCCATCTCTTTAGAGGTGTTCTGAGACCTCCAGTGGAGGCCTGAAATTGAAAATAGAAACAAACTTTACATATAACATTTTCTTCCGTAAGATATTAAATATTCTATAATAATGTTTTTATTACTAGACACAGTAAGATACTAACAACAATAAATTACAATTTAATGACATACAGTTATAAATATTACATGAATATGCTCTCTCTCCTTTAGATGGGATAATTTTTAACCCTTTTCGAACACAAACAATTGAAACAACTGAAAGCAAAACTACTTACAAAGAATGAGGGAAATTGACATAATAGTATTAAGGAGCACAAGTAATCATAACTTCAGAAGATCATAAATCAGAAGATCATAAGGATTTAATGATCAAATATACTTAGAAAAATAAAAGGAAGTCTATAAATATCATTTTTGTTATTGAATATATTGTAATAACTCTGAGGGTCTCTATGATCAAGTTCAAATGCTTTGAAGAGATAGACAACTCATTAAATTTATTATAAAAACAAAATGGGAACTAAATTTTAAGTAAGTTTCTTTGATGGGCAACTGAACTGATTTTTTAATAATTAAGATAATTTTCTACTCATGTTTTTAAATTTTCATAATTGACATATAAACTGGGCTGGAGCGATAGCACAGTGGTAGGGCGTTTGCCTTACAAGCAGCCAACAAGGCTGACCCGAGTTCGATTCCTCCGCCCCTCTCGGAGAGCCCGGCAAGCTACTGAGAGTATCTCGCCCAAACGGCAAAGCCTGGCAAGCTACCCATGACGTATTCGATATGCCAAAAACAGTAACAACAAGTCTCATGATGGAGACGTTACTGGGCCCGCTTGAGCAAATCGTTGAACAGGAGGACTGTGACCTGTGACCTGACCTGACATATAAACTATGCATCATAATTGGAAAGGAGGAGAGTAAATTATAAAAGAAACCCACAAAATTCTTAAAAGCCATCTCTGTCTGATTTCTATCTTTTCCTCATTATAAATATAGTTATTAGTTGATAATGAAATCTATGATCGTTCTAATTATTTTCTTCAATTCATACAATCATACACTTTTAATTGAATATAAAAAATATGTACCTCTAGTGATCTGGTCAGCATTATCGTTAATTTGTGACATTTTGCTCGAGCGGGCCCAGTAACGTCTCCATTGGAGACTTTGTTGTTACTGTGTCTGGCATATCGAATACTCTCGGTAGCTTGCCGGGCTCTCCGAGAGGGGCGGAGGAATCGAACTCGGGTCGGCCATGTTGGCTGCTTGTAAGGCAAACGCCCTACCCGCTGTGCTATCGCTCCAGCATTTTAATCTAGGCCAGTCTGTGTGACTTTACTAATAAGGGCAAAGCATTATCACAAAATAGGGACATAGAATATTAGTAAATGGATAAACAAAACAGAACAAAGCAAAAAATACGTAAACCAAAGCCACTGGAGAAAACAGAGAAGTATATACTTCACCCCGCCCCATTAGATGCTAATGGTAGTTATTTTTATTTTTAAGTCAGAAAAATTCAAACTCTGGATTCTTTCAAATCTTTATTTGACATTTTATGGTTCATATGATTTTGAAGAATTCTAATTCTAGAGTCAGATGAGCTCTGGTCAGAGTTCTATTCATGGCACTCCCCTACTTAATAACCGGTTCTGGTTCTCCTGCAGCTGCCAAATGTGCTTTAAACGCATAGCAACTGCCATTGGTTCCCACAGAACCTTCCTTTCTTACCTCTCACCATTTTCCCTCCAGCCAATTAGGAACATTCATCTTGCACTGCATTTTCCCAGCAACATTCATGCTGTGGTATTGTGAAATTTTTCCCTTAGTCAGTTTTCAAATGATAGATTCATTTCCATTGCAATTGTCACTGAAGTATTTGCGTGTATGTCTGTGTCATTATCCACTTAGACCAGGGTGGAACCCAGTTGATATATCTGGTTGGTTTGGGGTAGAATATATAGAACAAATTATTTCTAAGTCTTACATCTTATTTTAATTTTTGGTGTTTCTGTGAGTAGATAATTTTGTTTTCATTTATGTACTCAGTTCCCTTTTGTGTTATGAAAAGCTTTAACTATAAGCATGTAAAATATATTACACATTTATATGTCCATCTGAGAATCACACACACTTATCTTTGTAATCATTTCTCCTACTGCAGAGAAGAGAATTGAAAATTGTTAGAAGAATTTGCTTACAGTAAATGTATTAATACTGTTCATATCAACTCCCCTAATGATAAATATTTCAGGGTTGGAGAGACAGTATTGTAGATAGGGTGCTTGCCTTGCCCGTGGCAGACCCAGGTCTGATTTTCTATAAATAGCATATGCTCTTCTGAGCCTTCTAGGAGTGATCCTGAGTGGAGAACCCGGGGTAAGCCTTGAGTACCATTGGAAGTGACCCCAAACCAAGAGTATAAAAAAATGATCAAAATTCCACAACCAAAAATTCCCTAAAACGGTATTGAGTCCTGCAACGAACAAACAAGTGCAGATGTCACTTCAACTATACTTTTTTTTGCCTCTCTGGTATATATTCCCAGGAGTGGTATTTCTGGGTCAAATGAGAGCTCAATTTCTAATTTTTTTAATGTTTTAATTTTTATTAGTGAGACACCATGAGATACAGTTGTAGACTTACAAATTTTTGTGCTTGGGTTTCAATTATACAATGATCAAAAACCCATCCCTCCATCAGTGCCCATTTCCCACCACCACGGATCCCAGTATCCCTCCCACCCCCCATCCCCGCCCATCCCACCCTGCCTCTGTGGCAGGGCATTCCCCTCTGTTCTCTCTCTCCTCTTGGGTGTTGTGGTTTGCAAAAGAGGCATTGAGTGGCAATCATGTTTGGTCTATAGTCTACTTTCAGCATGCTTCTCCCATTCTTGGAGGATCCTCCCACCACCCTTTATTTGGTGCTCCCTTCTCTATCTGAGCTCCCTTTTCCCCTAGCATGTGTGGCTGGCCTCCAAGCCATGGAGTAAAATTCCTGGTACTAATCTCGGCCATTCTTGGGTGTTAGTCTCCTATTTTGTTACTTTATGTTCCCCAGAGGAATGCAATCTTTCTATGTCTATCCCTCTCTTTCTGACTCATTTCGCTTAACATGATACTTTCCATGTAGTACCACTTGTATGTAAATTTCATGACTTTATCTTTTCTAACAGCTACATAGTACTCCATTGTGTAAATGTACCAAAGTTTCTTTAACCAGTCATCTGTTCTCGGGCACTCAGGTTTTTTCCTTCTGGCTATTGTAAAGAGTGCTGCATTGAACAAACAAGCGCAGATGTCACTTCAACAATACTTTTTTTTGCCTCTCTGGGATATATTCCCAGGAGTGGTATTGCTGGGTCAAATAGGAGCTCAATTTCTAATTTTTTGAGAATTGTCCATACTGTTTTCCAAAAGGGCTGAACCAGTCAGCATTCCCACCAGCAGTAAAGGAGGGTCCCTTTCTGAGTCAGAAAGAGAGTGATAGACATAGAAAGATTGCATTCCTCTAGGGAACATAAAGTAACAAAATAGGAGACTAACACCCAAGAGTGGTCGAGATTATTACCAGGAGTTTTACTCCATGGCTTGGAGGCCAGCCACACATGCTAGGGGAAAAGGGAGCTCAGATAGACAAGGGAGAACCAAGTAAAGGGTGTTGGGAGGATCCTCCCAGGATAGGAGAAGCATGCTGAAAGTAGACTATAGACCAAACATGATTGCCACTCACTGCCTCTTTTGCAAACCACAACACCCCAAAGGAGAGAGAGAACAGAAGGAAATACCCTGCCACGGAGGCAGAGTAGGGTGGGGGATGGGGGGTGGGAGAGATACTGGGACCCGTGTGGTGGAAAATGGGCACTGGTAGAGGGATGTGTATTTGATCATTGTATAATTAAAACCCAAGCACGAAAATTTGTAAGTCTACAACTGTAACTCATGGTGTTTCACTAATAAAAATTTTTTAAAAAACAAAGAAAATTTGGTACATCTAAAAAAAAAACGGTATTGAGTCTCTTGGATAAAAGGCAGAAGATGTGATTCCAGAAACCACTGATATTTGTAAAAACATAAAATGTAGTTGTATTGTATACATGCATTTAAAAATTTAGCTTAAAAATTCAAATGGAGAGGCATTAACAGAGAGATAGTACAGTGGGTAAGTTTCTTGCCTTGCATGCAGTCAACATGAGTTTGATCCTGGCACCACCTATGGTCCAGACCTATTAGGTCTGATACTATAAGCCTTGAGCACTTCCAGGTGTGACCCAGATCCCTTCCCTAATTATTAAAAATTTAAAATGAAGCATATTTGTTTTAATCATGTTGTCTAAATTTGAGAAACCCCTAATTATCTCTATTTTATCTCACAGAGGATCATGCATTTGAAGTCAATGATAACATTTCAAGTTGTTGAAGACTATAGGGATAACCTGTCGATTTTACTATAACCATAGAGAATGTACAGCATTTACTCCCAGAACAGGGCTATATTAGTGTTATTAAATTTCATTCTTTAATGTATTTGGTCCATACAGGGCACCTGTGCAGAGGTTCAAGTTTACAAGTTGGGCATCTTCTCTGTTATGTCTTGTTTAAAGAAAGAATCCTTCACAGTTACAAAGAAAGGTCTCACTCTCAAGCCAAGCATGGATTCTCGAATATCCTTAAATTACCCTCCGGGAGTTTTCAAATCACCAGTGCTTGTGCAATTAAAGGTAAATATTAAAAACTAGTGAGTTTAAGAGTGATGATACTCAAATCTGGTCTTAAACATTGAATAGATATGTGTATATAATATAATAATGAGTGAATTCTTCTCTTATACAGTCTACTGAAGTGAATGCTTACCTAGTCTACTAGGTAATATATTACATTATTTAGTATATATAATATAATAGTATATATAATATAATACTATCACTGTATCACTGTTATCCCGTTGTTCATCAATTTCCTCAAGCAGGTACCAGTAACATCTCCGTTCATCCTAGCCCTGAGATTTTAGCAAGTGCCACATTGGAGGCTCTTTCAGGGTCAGGGGAATGAGAGCCATCATTATTACTGGGTTTTGTCATACCGAATACACCATGGGGCGCTTGCCAGACTCTTCCATGTGGGCAGGATACTTTCGGTAGCCTGCCAGGTTCTCTGAGAGCAAGAATTAGACAATAAGAGGTCTGGAATCTAGGTTCTAGGTCTCTGGATCTTGACTTGGATCGGGAGTAGGCCTCCTCCACCCAGATCCCCCATCTTCCAGTAGCTAGACATTTATCACCCACCAATTGCCCTTGGGGCTGTGTAATGCCATAAATAGCCAAAATCCAGAGACTATAAAACCAAGCTCCCAGAAGAGAACAATATAGAGCTTCCTGCCCCTGCACCTGGCTGTCCTCACTAGGGCCTCTTGTAGGGTGGCAGATTGAGTTTCCCTCCCTGCCCCGAGCAGAGCCCTGGCAGCTGAAGACCTCTGGGACTCAGCCACAGCCATGCTCCACAGACCACTCTCCACATGCTCTGATGAGCTTCACACATGAAGGAACCAGTGGAGGAACCTAGGTGTGTGGGACCCGGGGCTGAGATCTCCAAGACTGCTTGGAATGAGGCTGGGCTTCCTCTACACAGATACCTCATCTTCTAGTAACTAGACAGTTACACACCCCATGCCTTGTATTCCCATCAACGGCCAAGATTATATTATATATAATTATATATACTACATAGCATATATAGTATATATTATATAATATATTGCAGCCCTGTTATAGTATTGATTGGATTAATATGATAGGATTGATAGGATTGATACCGAGAACTAGAATATTCTCACGATTCAAGATTTGTAACTGAGAGGGTAACAAAAAGAAACCTAATGAATAAGATGACTATTAATATTGTTACATTTAGTTACAAAGAAGCATTTATTTGGAATAAAGATTCAGTATAAACAAACAATATTCACCAGGGGTATAAAAATGATCAAATTGGTACAGTTATTTTCTTTTTTATTAGAGCATCACCGTGCGGTACAGATACAGGCTTACAAACTTTCATGCTTGCATTTCAGTCATACAATGATCAAGTACCCATCCCTCCATCAGTGCCCATATTCTACCACCATCCCATCCCTCACACCACCCCCTCCCCATCCCCTCCATCCCTCCCTGACTCTGTGGCAGGGCATTCTATTTGGGTTTCTCTCTCCTTTTTGGGTGTTGTGGTTTGCAATAGAGGTATTGAGCGGCTTCATGTTCGGTCTATAGTCTACTTTTGGCAAGCATCTTTCAACCTGAATGGGCTCTCCCAACATCCTTTACTTAGTGTTCCCTTCTCTATTTGAGCTGCCTTTTCCCCCCAGCATGTGAGGCCGGTTTCCACGCCGTGGAGCAGACCTCCTGGTCCTTATCTCTCCAACTCTTGGGTGTTAGTCTCCCATTCTGTTACTTTATATTCCACAGATGAGAGCAATCTTTCTCTGCCTGTTCCTCTCTTTCTGACTCATTTCACTTAACATGATACTCTCCATGTTTATCCACTTATGTGCTTCTACACTATGGAATATTATGCAGCTGTTAGAAAAGATGAAGTCATGAAATTTGCATATAAGTGGATCAACAGTTAAAAATTTATCTTCTCAAATAGTTTATTTTATCTAGGCTCAGCTTTTAACCAAGTTCCCTTTTTCTGCCAGTTGGAACCACCAGTAATAAGCAAAAAAGACAAGTTAGACAAGAATACATTGCAAATAATTTTTTCATGAACATTTTCCATAAACTTTGAAATCTGGGAATTATTTAGTTATTTTTATTGTTAGTCATTCTTGTGAAAGGAAACATTTAAGTAAATATAGTCTTCCTTTTCTAGTTTCTAAAGAGCACTCAGTCTTACAATAGTTATAATTAGAAATTATGTAAAATGTCTATTTTGTTTTCTAGGTCATTTTATTGCCTGCAATTAAAAGTGTTTCTGAGTTATTTATAACTTAGGACAGAGAAACTAGATTTCAGAAAGTCTTTGAAATAAAAGATCTGAGTACTCAGTTCCTTTATAAATTAATGCAGTGTTGATTGCAGTCTCTGTGTGTGTGTTTGTATTTGAAAATTGCCTTAAAATCTGCTTATGACTAGCATATTTTTTATGAAAACATAAGAACATAAAACTCTGCATATATATACACACATATGATATACATATATGTATGTATGTATAACTTGTTTCCTTAGGTCCAACCAGTAGATCCTACTCTGGTAGCACATTTAAGAACACAGCAAGGCACTTTTTGCTCCATATTAGCCACAAGCCCTCTGGTTCATATTCAGCATCCATCAACACATGCTTTCCAGAAACCAGTCACTCTTCTCCTACCTTGTTCTCCACATACTGATAAAAAGAATCTTGAATCTGAGATAGATCACAAAAGAATGGCCAGTGCCACAACCAACAGAATCGTACCTTTGAACTTCAACCGGTGAGTTGATCCTAATATTGCTGAGGATAAATAAGTGGAAATGAGTACAAGATATAATCAAATGTGTTGACTTTAAGTCACTGTACTAAAATTTTATGAAATATCTTAAATGTAGAAATAAAATGTGGATCCACAAAAGGTATAATTTCGCTGTAAAGACCCAAAGTTTTCTATGTGGTAAGATTGATATAAAAGAGGTAAAATTGATCATTGTCTTAAAGAAACTTACAGTTAGTTATAATTAGATGGTATGGTAGTTTTTATTTTTGTATTTAAGTAAACTTTGTTTATGTGGGGAAAAATTGATCTTAAATTTTCCAAAACAAATTAGAGTGTATGCTTTATATAGAGCGATAGCACAATGGGTAGGGTGTTTGCCTTGCACGCGGCTGACCCGGGTTTGATTCCTCCGTCCCTCTCAGAGAGCCCGGCAAGCTACCGAGAGAGTATACCGCCCACATGGCAGAGCCTGGCAAGTTCCCCGTGGTGTATTCGATATGCCAAAAAAATAACAACAAGTTTCACAATGGAGACGTCACTGGTGTCCGCTTGAGCAAATCGATGAACAATAGAAGGAAGGACAGTGCTACAGTGGAGATTGATTCTTTTGTTTTCAACTTACATAATGAAAATTCCCACCAATAAGACAAATATCTATGTTTCGTGTCCTCTCAGAGATGAAATGTGAAATCAATGCTTACATTTGCTTTAGTGTTTTTCACGTATACAGAAAATAGTAAATATTAGAAGCACAGTAAATATTAATTCATGACATTATTTTATGTTTTTTCATTTATTTTATTTTCCTAGTAAGAAAGGTAGACAATAACCTTTCTATTCGTTGGTTCTCAAGGGCTTTTTTTCTTTGAAACTAGAAGGAGGAAACAGTAACTGCTAATAAGAATGCAGTATGTACCAGATTCCTTATCTATACTATCTCAAGAAATTCACCTTTCATTGATTGTGTCAGTGACGTGTCTAAAACTCAATGGGCTAAAAATTTGCACTTATTCCTAGAAATCATAGATTAACTATATTCTAGATTCATATTAATGTGTTTATAAACATGACTCTGAAGCTGTTGCCTGTTTACTTTCAGATTGTCAAATTAGAGTTGAAAAAAGGATTATTCTTTCCTACTCTGCTAATAATTGTAGAAAATTGAATAATGTTATTGGAAAAAATAAAAAATTAGTGAGTGATAGATAAGAAAGGGAGAACGTATAAATTATATAATTATATGTTTTCTATTTGAGATATCTGTCTACCTATCTATCATATATTTATCTACTTCCCAGTTGACAATATAGTTAATCCATTTCTTGTATATCGTGGCAAAAAAAATCAAAATCAACACATCCTGAAGCTTCCTGCTTGAAATTTATTAGTCTAATAAGATTAAGACTTATTTGCCTTAAATATCTTCCATAGTTATTATAGATATATTTAAAGATGAAAATGTAAATAACACAAATAACCTTAAAAACTGATTCTGACGGGTAAATTCTTATTAGTTTATGTCTATATTCTATGGTTTTATGGATGAAAATATTAATATGAATTTGCAACCACCATCTAATTTGCATCATAAATTTAGCTCCATTTGCCTGAGTTACGACTAAAAAATAAGTTGGGGATCATAGAGATAGTATTGTGGTTAGAACAGTTGCTTACATAGAACTGATAGGGGGTCGATTCCCTGCACCATCTGGTCTCCTGGGACAGCCAGTAGTGATTCCTAAGGACAAATAGGACTAAGATCTGATAACAGTCTCTCCCCTCAACCAAGTGAATAAAACATTTTCCTGTTCCCTACTATTTTACCCACAATCATGACAATGAGTATAAAATTATTTCCAGTTTGTACACATACCAATATGGAAATAATTCGATTAATATTCATTTGTTCTTCTTTGGTCATAAGCAACATGCCTCATAAACTTGCCTCTTAAGTAATAGGTCAGAATGTAGAGAGAAACTGGAAGCTGCAGATTTCACTATCAAACATGAATTTGTTATAAGTACAATATGAAAGGTAAAACCACAGGAGACTCAATATAAATGTATACTGAGGGTGAAAAATTTCTACTACTTAACAGATGCAAAGAATTGGAAATCCAAGTAGCATAGGTAGGAGTATGTTACATTGTTGTACAGAAGATTTATACTCAGTACAACTTAGTAGGCATTGAAAATTGGTTTAGAAATTACATACATGGAGCTTTCCTCTAGATCTGAGCAAGAGATTCTAACAATCACCAACATAAAAGTGGGTAAGTGAACATTCATTAAAGGATTAGCAAATAACAAAATACTGCAGTGTCTTAAGTAAAACAACATTAATTACAAGTCAACACCAAAATTTCCAAATAACAAACAGCTTCAGAAATGAGAAAAATAGCACATTTTCACATTTCACAGTAATTCAAATGAGAATTATAGTAACCTGGAAAATATTATAGAAATATTTGGTAAGTTTAATAATATCAAGTAAACATGATTCCAAAAAGGCAGAAGGACACCAGGTTAGACAGGAAAAAGATGAAAAGGCAATAGCATAAGATACAAAGATAGCAAGCTGAGACAAATGGAACCAAGGTATAATATGGAATCATTTCAAATGATGTAACTTTATAATTATAGGTAGCGCTGAAGGAGAAACCAACACAATCATAAAATAAACTTAATTTTCTGATGTTGATTAAAACCTTGAGGTGGGAAGCACTGATTACTAAACAAAATTTATGGGGGAAAAATCCAGTAATTAGATGTAACATAGTAATTTTAAATAGAATACTTCTATAACAATCCATTTGATGCAAGCAAATTAAGTGAAAAGAAATGTCTAGTCTCACTTTATTCTTTGCAGCACCAACTATCAAAAAGGGGAAAATGGACTAAAACTTTCAAACTTTTGAAGGATGTTGATGGTGAGGTTTTTTTTTTTGTTGTTGTTGTTTTGTTTCTGCTTGGGGAACAGACCTGCAGTGCTCAGAGATTACTCCTGGCTCTGTGTTCAGAAATCATTTCTGGTGGGACTCTGGGTAACATGTGTGGTGCTGGGAATCTAACCCAGGTTGACTCTGCAAGGCAAATATTCTACCAACTGTTCTATCACTTCGGCCCCGTTTTAATAGTGCAAGTATGCACAGGAAATACTATTTTCATATAGTTTGATGCTGACATAAAAGATAAGAAATAAAGATATATAGGAAAAAAGAGAACATAAAAATGTGGTGAAATTAAAGAGAAAACAAATGACATAAATAATAAGCAGAACAATATCCATAAATGTAGCACTGTCCCAAATACTGTCACTGTCCTCCTGTTGTTCATTGATTTTCACGAGCGGGCACCAGTACCGTCTCCATTGTGAAACTTGTTGTTACTGTTTTTAGCATATGGAGTACATCACAGGTAGCTTGGCAGGCTTTTACTCTAGGTAGCTTGCTGGCTTTCCGAGAGAGCGGAGGAATCGAACACAGGTCAGCTGTGTGCAAGGCAAACGCCCTACCCGTTATGCTATCACTCTGCCCCATCCATAAATAAGTTAAACATAATTTATTATGCTGCCTGTCTTAACTTTTTAAATTATGTACCTTGTATTCTGTCGTTGGGGTAGATTTCTTAGATTTATCATCTGAACATCCTCATCAATGATTTAAAACAGTGTTTCTCAACTATTTTCTGAACCTGGCAAGCTTCTGACTTGGTTTTCTTCCCATCTACACCCTCACTCCACCTGTCTTACTGCGCATCCTCAGTCTCATGCCAGGGCTCCTGGTGTGATGTATGATTTTAACTTATTTTATAAAAAAGTCAGATGAGTCAGGATGTATCTCAGCAGTAGAACACATGCCTTGCATGCGTGAAACCCTGGGATTATTCTCTGGCAAGGCAAAAATAAATAAAAGAAATCCTAAGGAAAAGATTAGTGCGAGTTAATTAATTGTGAGTTGGAAAAAATTTCTTGAGGATAATGAAAAGAGAATTAATTTATTGGAGACTCATTTAATAATACATGAGAAATATTTTAGAGACATAAATGGGAAAATGTTTTTGTCTATGAAAGTATTTCTATAGGATACTCAGTTTCTTTTGTTTGAGTGTGATAAATTATACATACAAAAGAATATTTGTCAAGTATGTGGATAACTGGTAAAACAACCGCACATCTTTAAAATTGCATTTAATCAATACCATTCCTTTGTATTTGTCCTTCTCATATTCCATCTTCTGATCTCTAAAATAATTTATTCTCATGCCCATCCAGGTCAATAACAATTAAATTTTTTGAATCATTCTTTAATTTTATTTTTTCTTTAGTTTTAGCATACATTTTAATTCTTCCTTTTATAACATCTTGTTTTATTTTGTCTGTGTTTGAGGTTTTTAAAAGTGGCATTTTCCTGTGCACAATTTAATGGTCTAGTTTTTTCAATTATAATAAAATATAAGAAGAATAGATTGAGAGCATGATGTCTAGAAGGGGTCTCTTGTGCAGTTAATAGAAAAATAACATAATGGGTATTCTGTGGGGTTTGTGCTTAAAAAATAAAATATATAAAATAGCGTCTTGGCCTGAAGGCAAGAAAAAATGGTTTGAATGTTTTCTTTTAAGGTGGATTTTATACTCTGGTGTGGCTGTGATGCAGTAGCATTGTAAACCTAAAAATCATATTTTAAAGCCTGATAAAAGGCCCTCCCGTTGATCATCGATTTGCTCGAGCGGGCCCAGTAACGTCTCCATTGGAGACTTTGTTGTTACTGTGTCTGGCATATCGAATACTCTCGGTAGCTTGCTGGGCTCTCCGAGAGGGGCGGAGGAATCGAACTCGGGTCGGCCATGTTGGCCACGTGCAAGGCAAACGCCCTACCCGCTGTGCTAAAGCCTGATACTTCACAAAAAAGTTTTGATTAAAAAAAGTAAGGATTTTTTTTTAGGATTTTAAATATATATTCATCAGGTTAAGCAAGATTTCTTTCATTATGAGTTAAATAATAATGTTTTTAATGTAATATCAGTTTGATTTTAAAATCTGTTTTTAGCATCTACTTAGATGTTCTTTGATTCTCTTTTAATTTGTTGATGTAAGGGATTGTAACTATAGCTTTCCTAATGCAAAATCACTCTTCAAGTACTGGATAAACTAAATTTAATGATGATGATTATTCTTAGTTTGCCTCCATAAATCCTATTGGTCATTCATAATTGAATTGGAGGTTGTTTGAGACATTAGTTGAATGAAAGATTGGGCTCAGTTAATATGTCTGAGCCTGAAGGTCTCTCCATTAAACCATAGGCCTCTCTCTCTCCAATTAACTGCTTGTTTTTTTTCCCCCTATGTGATATTTGTGAAAGAGTAGCTAGACAGCTGACATGGGCAATCAGGGTTTACAAAATGCAAAATCAGAAATGCTGCCACAATTTCCATTCTTACCTTGGAGCAATCAGGTGAACATTTCTGCAACATCCTATGTGCAACCTGAGTCAAAGGACTGCCTTCAGCGCACTGTGGGAAGGTGTCATGCCAAGGCAAGAGTGTTGACAGGTTTAAAGTGCACCTTTGAAGGCTGGATACCACCCACCTCTGGCATAATAGTCTAGGTTCACAAACATTCCCCCCCTCTTTTCTTTTGGGATCTTATGTCATGTTTTAAGGATCTCATGACTGTTTCTATGAAGACTGTAGAAATTTTGATTTCCATAACCATATGGGTGACTTGTTTAATTCTGCTGGTTGTCTTGGAAACTTTTCCTTTATTTGATGTTCTACATTCTTGTTTATTGTATCTAGATGTGATTTTGTTTTTATTGTTCTTTGGGTCAGATCTAGTGGTTGGCAGAGACTACTCCCAGCTCAGTGGAGGTGAGCGGGATTTTTACGGAGGTGCTCTGGGCATCATTCAGTGCTAGGATAAAACCTGGTACTCTGCCATGGCACACTGTATGCTACAGTCTATTTATTTATCTCTCAAGACCCAAAATGTGAAGTTTAAATATGTTTGTGGGTGAACATTTTATTTTTTTAATAAGAAAAATTTACTTTTCACATTCTGAGTTTGATTCCTCCACCCCTCTCAGAGAGCCCGGCAAGCTACCGAGAGTATTCGATATGCCAAACACAGTAACAACAAAGTCTCCAATGGAGACGTTACTGGGCCCGCTCGAGCAAATCGACGATCAACGGGAGGGCCTTTACCTTTACCTTTACCTTACTTTTCACATTCTTAGAAAAAAATATTGTGCATTTTCTAATCATACATTTGTCTCAATACCATTTTATCTATTTCCTTCTTCTGCATTTCCAATATAAAAGAAAAGAAATGGGAGGTTTTCAGAGATAGTCTAATAAACTCATTACTTTTATATTTTTCCTTTCTATACAATATTGAATATAGTTTCTTGATGTTCCAGTTAAAATGCCCCAAATACTGTCACTGTCCTCCTGTTGTTCATCGATTTGCTCGAGCAGTCCCAGTAATGTCTCTATTGTGAGACATTACTCCATTGTTGTTACTGTGTCTGGCATATTGAATACATCACGGGGAGCTTGCCAGGCTCTGCTGTGTCGGCGAGATACTCTCGGTAGCTTGCTGGGTTCTCCGAGAGGGGCAGAGGAATCGAATCCAGCTCCGGCTGGACTGGCTGCGCACAAGGCGAATGCCCTACCACTTTGCTATCGTTTCAGCCCCAAGTCCCAAATACTACATATTTGAAAATGTATACTATTAATCCATAGTTATTATTATTTTTAGTTATTATATTTCTTGTACTAGAGGTGAGGGAGCGACAGTTGGCTGTGCTCAGTTACTCTTGACTCTGCTCAAGGATCACTCCTGGCAGCTATTTGGGGGCCATTTGGGTAATAGGGATAATAACCATATGTTATATATAATATGTATGTATATTATAAAACAATAACAAGAAATATAAGTATTTTATTGAGTGAATTAATCTAGATCACAGTGTGATGACAAAAATCTAAAGTCCCAAATATGTATAGCAATAATCTTTACATTTCATAGCACCATGTGGCCATGACAGATAGGCTACCTCTTAATCATCCTCACTCCTGAACTTATGCTAGTAGGTACCTTTCTGGGTAGTTCTATGATACCAGAGAAAGCAGTAGATAGACCATGTTGCAATTAAGAGCTTGGCCTTTAAGGGAAAAGTATATCCCTTGTTCATTATCAAGTCATGTGGCCTGTTCATATGGCTCAAGAAAGTATCATTCTATCATAAACAGAGATGGAGATGCTGTATTTTTTGGCAAGTGGTTATAGGACTGTCACTGTCCTCCCGTTGTTCATTGATTTGCTTGAGCGGGCCCAGTAACATTGTGAGACTTGTTACTGTGTTTGGCATATCAAATATGTCATGGGTAGCTTGCCCGGCTTAGCCATGCAGGTAAGATACTCTTGGTAGCTTGCCAGGCTCTCTGAGAGGGTCAGAGGAATAGAACTTGGCTTGGCCTGATCAGCCGCGTGCAAGGCAAACACCCTACGAGCCCTTCCCGCTGTGCTATCGCTCCAGCAAGTAGCTATAATTGACGTCAAATGAACTATTCGGGCTCTGAATTATAAAGTATTCGTCTCAGCCCATTGCTTATGGGCTAACCTGATGTAGGGTGACCCCATTGTACTCGAAAACCAGTAAGACATCATATAAAATTTGGTCTATTGGCAAAAATAGGTAAGTGTAGTCATCAGAAGAAAAAAATCAATACTACTTTGAGTTGAATCAATTTCCTGTAAATGAGAGTTTTTGGGTTCAATACAATATGTCTTCCTATATTAATGAATTATGAACTTCTAAGAGTTACAAAGTTCACCATACTAATGATTATAAACCCAAAGTTTTAAACTGAATGCTATTTATTTGTTTTTTCCTAATATTGTCCTGGTTGTCTTTTGACAGAGGAAACATTATTATCTGAGCTTTTCAGAGTAGACATTTTAATTCAACTCAGTTTTCAACATGTAGATTATAGGACAGCCTAACCTATAAAACCAAGATGATTTTGAATCACAAACTAATTCTGTTCTCAAAGACACAATTTTTACATTTGAGGTTTATTATTAGTTTCCAACAAAAAAAGTTTTGTCCTCTGGGGGACATAATTAGACAATCTTTTTTCTTTTTATTTCCCCCCAAGATCTTCAGTATCAAAAATTCTTGTTAATTTAGTTATGAGGAACATATATTTATTTAAGTGAAATCAAGAATTTTTTAAGCTTACAATAAATAATCTTTCCACCTCTAGGGCCGTGCAAATTTTTTTCATTTTATTTTTCTCCTAATTTTTCTTATCATTTGTTCTACCATTTTATTTTTAGTCTCTCTAACTATTCATTAGTAAATTGTTTGTTGTTCATTTTGTGTGTGTGTATGGTGGGGAGTAAGTATGGTTGGACCATAGCTGGCTATACTGAGGGCTACTTGTGCCTGGTGTTTGGAGTTTGCTTTAGGTGGTGCTTGGTAAACCATGTGATAGTGGGCCTCAAACCTGGGGCTCTGACTTGTAAAGCATCCCCTTGAATAATTTGCCTTTCCTTTCTCTATTATTTATTTTCATAGCTTGACACTACAGTCAAAAGACAATAACCAATTACAATCTCTAGACCTCTTATTAACTCAAGTTTCTAAGGAAAATAATTCAACTATCTAGGTGTAAAGAAATGCATGTATTGTTTGACAAATCAGCTCTGGTTAGGGAAAACATAAGTGATTCATACAGCACTCCTCTTCCAGACATGTGTTAAAATTAAAAAAAAATTACAAGATACTAATTGATTATGTGTTGAAAGAAATAGAAGAATGTTAACACTAATTGTGGTGACTACAGGTTTGTGCTTTACAAGGTAAAGGTAAAAGGTAAAGGTCCTCCCGTTGTTCATAGATTTGCTCGAGCGGGCCCAGTAACGTCTCCATTGGAGACTTTGTTGTTACTGTGTTTGGCATATCGAATATGTCACGGGGAGCTTGCCAGGCTCTGCCATGTGGGCGAGATACTCTCGGTAGCTTGCTGGGCTCTCCGAGAGGGGCGGAGGAATTGAACTCGGGTCGGCCATGTTGACTGCGTGCAAGGCAAACGCCCTACCGCTGTGATTTGTTCTTATAATGCACATATTATTATTGTTGTTGTTTTCGTTGCTATTATTATAGATAAGAACACTGAGATGCAGAGAGATTTTAAATGTGGTTATACAGCTAATTCGAGGTAGACCCATTCAGAATTGGGAAGGAGACAGCTTTGTTCCAGAGTCTAGTCTTAGCTATTCTTCTACATGACTGTTCTTGAATATCTTCAAACATCTGGGTTTACATTAAGGGAAATATTTATGTTTTTGGGTGCCCTATAAAATTCCCCAAATGAGATTCATTTGCCTATAGTCAGATGCTTTTCAGTCTCCAAAGTTAATCTTCAATGTCAGCAATTTACTATTTCAAGATTCCCTGTAGATCTTTCTTCTGTTCCTAAACCACGCAGTACATTCTCTTCATTACCATACACATCACCATGTCCTTTAATTAGATAATTTTGTGAATTTCTCAAAAGCTACGATTATAACTTGTTCATATTTGTGTAATCTTGCTGCATAGATACTTACTGGTACATAGTATCTACTTAATGAATTGTTATTGACATATAATGGAAAAATTAGAAAATTGGTTTATTATTTATGATTAAAACTATAGAATTTTCTTTTAATTTTACAAATTTCTTTCTGTTACCCTGATATAGGACAAAAAGTGCTTCCATCAGAAAACCTGGGAACAATGCCTGTGATTCTTTGAAATTATTAGGATTCAGGAGTAGAGACAGTGGTTGGTTTGGACTTGATGATGTTGTGGTGAGAACAATGCAGAGTGGCTTGGTATCCTTTGACTTGGGTGAAAACTTAGAGAGGTAATACAATAATAAGCAATGGAATTCTATCCTCATTGTTCATTATGGATTGTTACAGAAATGAAATCACAGGATTAGATTTTTTTCCTCATAGGGACATGAATAGTCTAGTAAAATATGCTCAAGATGCAAAGCAGAGTTGACAAAAATATGCTATATATACTTTTAATTCATGATAATTTAATAAGTGCTTTGATAAATGACTCATAAGAGGCTTATTTTTGCAAGTTTCTTCTAATTCTAACATACTTTTAAAATAGTACCTTCTTTTTTGAAGTTCACAGAAATAGGATTAACTCTCCATATTATGCTCATCTCATAACTATGTAGACATAAAACAAACTGAATTTATTATTTCAGTGTCCTCAATTTGCTTTCACATTTCCATGTTTTCTAGACAGCTGATTACAGAAGACTTTAAGATAGTTTTAAGGTTTAAGAGGAATAAACATTTAGAATTAATAACATATACATTTAGTCATATATATAAAGATGGATTTTATTTCACAATGGATTGCATATCTATAATGGTCTTTGGTCAGATTACCTAGGAGCAGAGTTTAACACAACTATGCAAAGGACTTATTCAATTAGGGCTAACCAGTGAATCCTACAAGGGAATGAAAGAATACAAGCAGGTGGAGAGCTTGTTTCCACTTTTCTTTGTGTATTAGTCTCATAATATGTTATTATTTTTATGCACCCCACAGATGAGTTCAATCATTCTATGTTTGTCCCTCTCCTTCTGACTCATTTCACTCAGCATGATACTTTCCATGACCATTCATTTATATGTGAATTTCATGACTTCATTTTTCCTGGTGGCTGTATAGGAATGGTCTAAAGTTCGAAGTTTGCCACAAGTGGTGGTAGTGGGAGAGGGCAGCTAAGTTACAGAAGGGACCACTATGCCAAAGATAGTTGGAAATAATCACTATGGACAAGAACTGAATGCTGAAAGTAGGTAAAGGGACAAAAATGAGTGACAAAAGAAAAGAGAGAGCAGAGAGAGAGAGAGAAAGAAAGAGAAACAATGCCAACCATAGAGGTAGGCTAGGAGGAGAGGGGCAGAAAGGAAACTGGGGACATTGGTGGTGAGAAAAGTACACTGGTAAAGGTATAGGTGAGGAGACATTTTAAAATTTTGAAACTGTATCTTATGATGATTCAATTATATAAACATATGCATACACACACACGTGTGTGTGTGTGTGTGTGTGTGTGTGTGTGTGTGTGTGTGTGTAGCAGGTGGGGAAAAATAAGAAAAATACAAATAGGATTTCTGCTCTTGTGTTATTTTAGACTGATGCGTTAGAGGAATTCTGGAATGCGAGGATCGAGGAAACTGGTTTTCCACCCCTGTTCTCTTAGTCCTTATTTCTGGTTTCTGGGATGCCAAGTTAAGGCATATTAGACAATTCTCAGAAGAGTTGGGTGACGGACGATGGGTCATCCAGTCGAGGGCAAGAAGTCAGTTCATGAGGCTGCCATAATAAAGTAGGTCAGCAAAGTCACTTAAATAACAAATTGTGTTTTCTCATAGTTCTTTATTGGGGGTGAGGGTGGGGGAATGTATCTGATCATTCTCGGGGTTTATTCCTATTCAGGGATCACTCCTGACTGTTCTCCAATGTTCTATATGCAGTCCCAGGGATAGAACCCAGGTTATCAGCACACAAGGCAAGCACCCTATCCACTGTATTATCTCTCTGGGATTTTTCTCCCACTTCCAGAGTTTAGAAAACCAAAGTTAAGGTATTAAACGGTTTAGTTCTTCTGAAGCCTGTGAGAGGAAGGATTTTTCCCAGGACTTTCTCCTCAACTTGTAGATGGTTATCTTTATGGTCAGATGAAATTGTATCATTAGTGTGTCCACTTTTTTTCTTTTTATGGCACCAGACATGTTGGATTAATGTTGAGACTAATGACTGCACATTAACTTGATTGCCTTTGTAAAGACTCTACTTCAAATAAGGCCACATTCTAAGACACTGGTGGTTAGCACTTCAACACATGAATATGCAAAGAAGGGACTCAATGCATACCATACCATAAGAGACTGACCATCTTTACTCCAAGTGGTCAAGGAGAATATTTCAAATCCCAAGAAACTGTGATTCTGTGCCTCCTTGATTTAAAAAAATGGATTAATGTTGATCATTTTTGGTCTACACTTTTAAATAGCACATTTTGATGATACTAGTTAAAATATACTTTAAAATATATTCATACTAGAGTATTTAAAAGTGAGCTCAATTTGGAATAGTTCTTAGTTTGAGACCACCTATGTGAGAATTCGCTTTATTAAAGCTTAGTTGCTGATTTCCAAACTCAGACTCAATTCATGAACTGAGTCATTCATAAATTAAATCAGTTGGTCTCCAGCGTGCTTGGTTTAAAAGGAAAGTTGGGTCTACTGACTGCCTGCTGAGCAGTGGTGGTTAAGTGAATGCCTCTCAGGTCATGCCTTTTCCTTCTATTCAGGTTTATTGTGCTTCAGCTCTCTTCTGTTGTGGATAATAGCCACTTGGTTTCCTTTGTGAAATCTTTAGAAGATGCTCTGCTCAGCACCACTGCCTGTATTGTGCTGTATCACCAGAAAGACAACCCACGGAGGGTGGTTGTTTTAGTGGTGCCTTCTAAAGAGTTGACCCAGGTACTTAAGAGCTTGCGTCTAGAAGGGTTCAGTGCTTCTCCAGAACCGCCCCGTCATTTCCAAATAAAAGAAGGAGAACAGCTTCTTTTGAGATTTACTGGAAACATATTTGCCTCAAGTAAGTGTAAAGAAATATTTTTGCATGTTCTATGACCTATAAGCCAAAAAATTCCAAAGGAGTTCACTAAATTGATCTTACTATGTAAATTCTAGAGAGAATCTATTAGAAAAAAATAAGAAGAGAAATATTATTTGTTTCTCTCCAATTTCTTTGAGGGTGCACGTTCTTTATGGGTGGAATCTAAATGGCATACGTGTGATTAAGGATGGCAGTTCACTTCAGTAGTGAACTTTATATGGTATAATTTGATTTAATTAGCAGCGCAATGTTATTTTGAGATTACTGGAAACATATTTGCCTCAAATAAGTGAGGCAAATATGAGTGAGGCAAAAATAGAAATAGTCTCCATCTTTACATCCTAACACAAGCTAGGATCAACATTCTTCCCCATCCATGCCATTGCCTCTAAGTACTCATTTGTTTCTTCTAATTGCCACGTTAAACAAATTTTCATCTAATAACAACAATACTGAAAATATAAATAATTTGGGAGACTAATACAAAATTTGGGCTGACTAGGAATAACTTTGTAACTGTATATCTCACAATAAGGTAAGGTAAGGTAAGGCCCTCCCGTTGATCGTCGATTTGCTCGAGCGGGCCCAGTAAAAATCAATTAATTAAAAATCAACAAACAGAAATTGGGCTGAAGTAGTCCTCTGATTGTCACATGCATCCTTAGAACAAACTGTCCTTTGATAAATATGACTACTTGAGGGAAATGGTAACTGAGGGGTACTGGGCAGGCAGGTTTTTATTTTTTTAATTAAGATAGCTTGGGACACACAGTTACAAAGTTATTTTGGTTATATAATGTTCCAACACCCATTCCTCCACCAGTGTGCATTTCCCACCATCAATGTCCCCAGTTTCCCTCATGCCAACCCCACCTCCAGTCTGTTTCTCTGGCTGGCACTTTTCTTCACTCTCTCTCTCTTCTCTCTCTCTCTCTCCTTTCAGGCATTATGGTTCTCAATTCAGATAGTGAGAGGTTGTCATATTTGTTCCCTTACCTCCTTTCAGTACACAGTTCTTATCCAGGGTGATCATTTCCAACTATCATTGTAATAGTGGTTTCATCTCTGTCCCAATTCTCTTTTCCTCTAGCACCTGAGGCAGGCTTCCAACTGTGGACCAATCCTCCTGACCCTTGTTTCTGCTGTCCTTGGGTATTAGCCTCATAAGATGATTTTTTTTATGTTCCACAAATGAGTGCAATACTCTTATGTCTGTCCCTCTCTTTCTGACTTGTTTTACTCAGCATGACATTTTCCATGTACATCCATTTATAATCAAATTCCATGACTTCCATTTTTCCTAACAGCTGCATAATATTCCATTGTAAAGATATACTATGGTTTATTCAGTCATCTGTTCTTAGGCACCCAGATTTTTTCCAGATTTTGTGTATTGTAAATAGTGCTGCAATAAACATAGAATTACAGATAGCATTTCTGCAGTGTGTTTTGCATCCCAGGGTATATACTATGAAGTTTCCGCACCTCAAAAGATTAGTTAACAAGAAACAGAGATAGCCAATGGAATGGGAAAAATTATATTTACTCAATACCCATCAGATAGGGGGTTAATATCCAAGATATATAAGGCACTGGTAGAAATTTACAAGAAAAATATCATCCAACCCCATCAAGAGATGGGGAGAAGTAATAAACAGAAACTTCCTCAAAGAAGAATACAAATGGCTAAAAGACACATAAAAAAAACTGCTCAAAGGGGCTGGAGCAATAGCACAGCAGGTAGGGCGTTTGCCTTGCATGCAGCTGACCCAGGTTTGATTCCCAGCACCCATATGGACCATATGGTTCCCTGAGCACTGCCAGAAGTAATTCCTGAGTGCATGAGCCAGGAGTAACCCTTGTGTATTGCCAGGTGTGACCCAAAAAGCAAAAAAAAAAAAACCTGCTCAACATAGCTAACCATCAGGGACATGCAAATCAAAACAACACACATATTGAAAAAAAAAAAGAAAGATCAGTGCTGGCATGGATGTGGGTTAAAGGGACTCTCATTCATTGTTGTTGAAAATTCCAACTGGTCCAGCCTGTTTCTGGAAAATTATATGGATATTCCTCAAAAAACTATAAATTGAGCTTCCATATGACAGTCTTTAATGGAAAAACAGGGAAATATACATCAAAGTTTATAATTCTTCTAATGTAAACCTTATACTTAGTTCTTACTGAACTTACTATCTTAAGTCTTTTTCATATCCTATTCACAATCTAACCTTAGATTGTAGATCCCACAAGATAATAGACAATAGTAAGATTTACTATAACTACTTTATTGTAATTCCATGTATTTTATTCTATCTATTGAAAAATACCAACCGGAGAAGGAACCAGGAGTTTTTACCAGGCTCCAAAAAGGTTCATTGCACAAAAAACAAACAAACAAACAAACAAACATGAAGAACCTCTGATCTGGGCTAGAAAGGAGGTTTAGGTACTTGTCTCACAAGCACTTTGCCCTGGTTTGATCACTAGCACTGCTTTCTTCCTATACGGTCGCATACAATATTTTGTCTACAATTTTCAGTATTTTAAGCAATGTAAAATGAATAACTATTTGACAATGCTGGGAAAAATAATCATGGTGAGTATATATGAAAGGTGGTAGAAATGAGAGAAAGAGGTTGGAGAGGAAAAAATAAGTTGAATAGAAAGGTAAAGGGAGACTGGAGGTATCCTTGAAATAGGGACAGGCTTAGTTGCCATCTTGCTGAAGCCCCATCACCTGCACCCACCTCCCATAGCCGCTTCCATGCCAATGACCAATTTCACTACTTCATAACTAATCTCTGCAGGGATGCCAAACCAACAAAAATTTCAGGCACACCACTTTGTAGGCTGAAAACTCTGGGATGTTCTTGGCTGGGGATGGGCAACTCCGCCACCCCAACCCCCCATCCCTATATCTCTGGAAGCCCTGGCAGCCACACCCACATCTCAAGCTGCTGTCATGTCTATTCTTTGCCCCAGTTCTATGGATCCTGAAGTTCCTGGAGGGATACCTTCAAATTCTTTAATACCGATAGCCTAGTAGAAGCATACCAAATCATATGAGAAGGTTACATAGAAGCCAACTAAGCTCAATAACAAAAATATCAGAAGGCTCAACTAGAAACAAATAACTTAGTAAAAACCATCAGGCAATGACCTAATTAATGACCCCTTGGGGAGATGTAATAATTTTTACAAATTTTCTTTTACTGGAGTATTTTTGATAATTCTGTCAACCATTGAAATGCAATATAAAATAAATTATTTTGTGCCTGGTAAGGGAAAAGGCTTTGGGGATAGGTGGGAAATTGGGGACAATGGTGGAGGGAAGGTCACATAGATGGTGGGATTGGTGTTGGGACATTGAATGCCTGTAATAATTATATTTTGAACAACTTTGTAAACCATAGTGTTAGATAAAGTTAAAAAGTTATGGAGGAGAAAGGGAGAATATGTAGAGAAATGATCTATATGAGAGAAGAGATGAAATACTCTAGGGAATTGCTATCATACCTTCAGGAAAAAATATAGCATGACTTTGAAATTCTTTCACTTGATATGGAATAGAATTTAAGAGGCAAGTATACATACTTGTTTCTTACAAGAAACACAGAATGCCCTTTGGCTGTTCAGAAGTTAGTAAGACTCAAAGTGTCTTGTATTGTAGTGCCTCTTTCTATCTCAGAAGCAAGTCTCAGGCACCAGAGTCAGTTTACAGGATCTAGGGAGGTTAGTAGACTGTTGGAAAGAGGGGAAAGGGAGAGTAGAGAGAGGAAGGAAGGGTGGGAGAGCGCTCTTCCTATTTGGCTTCCAGAGCAACAACCATGGTGCCCCTCTAAGGAGAGATCACCAGAAACTGGAAGTGTCCCACCCTAACCAATGATGCAAACCATCTTCCTGTAGTACTCAGGAGAGCAGCTGTGTTTGTCTACTGCTTTAAACAGGAGTGATGGTCTTCAAGGCAGTCAGGGTACTAGTGCACCATTTCCTATCAAGGTGAGTGAGGAGTTTATGCTAAAATCAATGCCTGCATGTGTGAGCAACAAGATATAAAGGAAACCTCTTGTCAACTCAAGGGAATGGAGGCAAGCAGGCTGCCAGAATCCTTTCTGTTTTGCTTAGAGATCCTTTTTTGTTTGCTGGGAGCCTCACAGGATTTTATTCTTTCATCAGGAGCAGGCTTAGTCTCTGTGAATGTCGAGCCACACAGCTTATCTGGGCGTATTCTCCACACCTCCACCTACACTCCCTCTCAGAATCCCCTGCTATCTCCAGCTCACACTTTGACGATAGGTTCACAAAAGTCTCTTCTTTTTTCTGAGGAAGCCAGTTTTTATTTCCATTGTCAGAGCTAGAAGTACTGCTCTTTTGAATCCTCTATGCCATACAGCTTGTAGTAGATGCAATTGTTCACTTATTCATTTAATTCTTTGATCAATGCCAGTTTTTCTGGATTCTCCTTTATCAGGGAAAGGACTGTCCTGTGGCAGGTCCTGCTCACTCCCCAACACCTAGGACTGTTAGAAAGAGCTCAAACAGTACTTATGGGAAGAATTAAAACAAAAGTTTGGGAGATAACTGAATAGGATGGTATTATATGACTAAGAGTCTATAAAACAATGTTTAAGGAAGGTCAAAATATAGAAATTCATTTATATAGACTAGAAGAGAAGCGATAGCCCAATGGGTAGGGCACTTGCCTTGCACGTAGCAGACCCAGTTTCAATTCCTCCACCCTTCTGGGAGAGCCCGGCAAGCTACTGAGAGTATCTTGCCCACACAGCAAAGCCTGGCAAGTTACCCGTGACACATTTGATATGCCAAACCCAGTAACAACAAGTCTCGCAATGGAGACATTACTAGGCCTGCTCGAGCAAATCGATGAACAACGGGAGGACAGTGCTACAGACTAGAAGAGAATGAAATGTCTTGACAACAACGCAATTCAACTTTAAAACATTTACGTATGGTTTTCATTTTGTTTGGTTTCTATTGGTTGCTTTCACACCTTTTCACACCTACTAGTCCTTAGAGATTACTCCTGACTCTGTGCTCAGGGGTCACTCCCGGTGGGATTCAGGGGAACCAAATGAGGCACTGTAAGATCTATTCCTGGTTGATATACCCACTGCACTATAGGTCCAGCCCTAGATATGTTTTTTCATTAAGAGAATGCTACTTAGTATTAGTAAATTTTCAATGATTTAATTTCAATAATATGTATTTATAATATTTTGTGATTTGATTATAGATCTTTATTTAAAAATAATTGTCAAAAGAGGAAGCTGTATTTTAGATCTAAAAAGATCCAATATACCTATTTCTCAACCATAATTCTAATATTCTGCCCCAATTTGTCCCCTGGAATCATCTGTATGATCTGTATACCTGGCAGGTTATTCAAGGTCTTTCTATGGACTGAAGGAGAAGTTATAGTCTATGGAAATTTAAATAGAATTTTTTTAAAATCTAAAATTTAAAAAAATTTGTGGAGTTTTTTTTTTTAATTTTATTGAATCACTGTAAGATAGTTACAAGCTTTCATGTTTGGGTTACTATCACACAATGATCAAACACCCATCCCTCCACCAGTGCACATTTCCCACCAACAATATCTCCGGTATGCCTCCAATTTCCCACCCTCCCCCTGCCTCCATGGCAGACAATATTCCCCATACTGTCTCTACTTTGGGGCATTACGGTTTGCAATACAGATACTGAGAGTTTAT